AGGTACTTACAAGTCAGAGAATGAGGAAAATTCATACAACTTAGGAACATCTGCTATGAGGGGAAATACACTGTGTTCACTTTCTATTTTCCCCATCCTTTGCATCTCTTACAGTTCAGTTTTACTCATTAGATTCCAGGAAGCAGAAAAGAAATTATAGCTGGGTGGAGGCGCTTGGAAGGCAATTTCATAAGGGATTCACAAGGAATCATGTATGAAAAGTACTGCTCCAGAATAGGCAGGATAGAAACTAAAGCTGTTTTCTTAATTGGCCTGGAGAAATCTCTTAGAACCCAGAGGAACTTTCTAGAATTATAGATAAAGGACATTTAGTTCTGTTACTGCATCTGTGAGGATAATATTTGATGAGGTGATAATAGATGTAGAGGAGAAAAGGGATGGTTTTATGTAAAATTAACAAAAATGATGTTGAACAGTGAACTAACTCTCAGGAAGTAAATGCTTAGTCATACTGAAAACATGTCTGAGTCTTCAGAAGATTTTGGATTATAAACTGATGTAGAATTAACACCTTGAGCAATGAAGGGATAATTTACAATCTCTTGATGGAGCTAAATTTTCAATGAAGGCAAATTGATGCCAGATAAAAAAAAAAGCTGTCTGGTGATTTTGGCAGCATATTAAAAATATATATGATAATTTAAATGAAAAGAATACAAAATAAAGCAGATCGAAAGAGTGATATGATAAATATAAATGTTAATTACTTAATAATTTATAAATATTCGGATTTATAATAAACAGTTAAGATGTACTAATTCTCTATAACTTACAATTTTTAAAAATCTCTCTACAGCATACACACAACATATGCTCTGTAAGAAATACACATTTACTTAAATTTTTCTTCTTATGTTAGGTAGAGAGAAGCCCCTTTCAGACAAAAACAGCTGCTTATACATATGCAGCTAATTCAGGTAATAGTTACAAAACATGTTCAAGGCAGATAGGATTAATTTACTACTAAGGTGTTTCTCCACGACAAGGGAGACATTCTTACAAGGATTATCAAACTCATTTTCTCTTTTCATTGTTTGAAAAATCAAAAGATCAAAAACCTATTACATGCAGCCTTGGTTCAATTTGTGCTTCAACTGGTCCACAAGACATTTTTTACAGATCAAATTATTGAAAATGGAGAAACATACTGCAAATGAATAACACTTTTTCCATAAAGGAAAAAAAAATCTCTCAAATGTCTGGTATAATGTTCTGTACTCTCAAAGCAGATATATCATGCTTCATAGGTATACGTTCTATTAAACTTGAATTTAAATTAAGTTCAAGTATATGAACGCTACTTTCTGATTTTTATGATAAAAATTAAGCATATTACTGGGGACATATTATCCTAGGTGAAATTTGATTCTTTATAAGCAAAGGAGAAATTTAGAAAGTGACTAGGCAATTATATATAAACTAACTCTGACGGCGCTATGGAAAAGTTTATCATTTTTCCCTACATTCTCCTCAATCTTTCACAAGCATTTTTTTTTCCTGGCAAAGACTGTGAACGCACCGTCACTAACTGAAACATAAGTCATTTCTTTTTTCTTTAATATATGCTCTATTTTTTAAATAAGTGGTATAGTTAAATAAAGGAATGCTTTAAACACTCATGAGGTCAAACTCTAGAGCTTTTGACTAAAACCCCTTGTGAGTTTAAAGTCACTTTTCATAGTAAGGTCAAAAAATGACAAACATTACTAAATCCCTCAACTCTGAGGTTTTGCTACCTTTTTTTTATTATATATGCTTAAAATGTTAGATCTGTATGGTTTATGAATATTTTATTAGCTTACTTGCAAATTTCCATTTTTAGCTTAAAGTAGTTAAAAAATAAGCTTGATGGTATTATAATTATATAGTAAGAAAAGGCAATAATATGTTGCAAATAACTGCCATTAATAACCTTACTAGATAATCAATATTCTAATAATCATAATTCAGAATTTGCAATTGTTAATATGGCATAACTTTTATGATAACATAAACTAAAGTGTGTCCTTTCACCACAATTTGTGTGTCCTCCCATCAAACTAAGTTTTCAATTAATTAATTAGCTTTCAATATCATTTAACTTTTGTATATACTGATTGTTAAATGTTAATATATTGTTATATTTATAGTATGTTAGGCTGTAATATTTGCATTTAGTTATAATTTTAATTGAATAATTTGTATCAAGTTGTATATATTTATGAGGTATATATTGATATATGTATATTATATATAATATTATATAATCTATACTATATATGTGTATTATTATATATAATATATACAATACACATATATAAGTTGAGAAATTTTACTCATAGTAATTGTTTTTTTATATTTTAGTTTGTTATTAACATACATGTTCAATCAGTGCAAATCATGTTTTATACATTAGCTTATGCTTCTAAATTTTCAGGTATCCCTACACTTTAATGCCTTTAAGTTATCAAAATTAGAAGATTTTTAATGAGTAATATAAACAAAATATAAGTAAAAAAGAGCGCCAATATGTTGAAAGTATACTTCTTGATGGAATGAATTAATATACGATAAGATAAACAAGATATTTTTCTTTCAAACTTTGTTCTTGACAGCTAATATTAGGTTTAAAGATACTGATATGGTAAATGATTTTACGCTTTTTCATTCAACAGTTGGTTAAGGGTAGTATCTGACATAGTGTGGTTGTAACAGATTTGTGTCTGCGTGTGCATTTTTTTTTCATTTTTAATAGACTTTACTTTTTAGAGCACTTTTAGGTTCACAGAAGAATTGAGCAAAAGATACAGAGTTTTCCCACATACCCTCACCCCACACATGCACAGCCTCCCCCATTACCAACATCCCCCACTAGAGTGGTACAGTGTTACAATTGATGAGCGAACATTGACACATCATTATCACCCAAAGTTCATAGTTTATATTATAGCTCATTCTTCGTGTTTTATATTCTATGGGCTTGGACAAATGCATAATGACATGTACCCACCATTACAGTAGCATACAGAGTAGTTCCACTGCCTTAAAAATCCTCTGTGTTTTGCCCATTCATCCTTCCTTCCCTCCTAACTGCTGGTAGCTATTTAAATTTTTTACTGTCTCTAGAGGTTTGCCTTTTCCAGATTTCATATAGATGGAATCATACAGTATGTAGCTTTTACATATTGGCTTCTTCCACTTTGTAATATGCACCTAAGTTTCCTTCATATCTGTTTATGACTTGAAAATTCATTCCTTTGTAGTGCTAAATAATATTCCATTATCTGGATGTACCACAGTTTATTTATCCATTCATTCACTGAAGGACATCTTGTCTATTTCCAAGTTTTTAGCAATTATGAAATGAGCTCCTATAAACAGGCTTTTGTGTAGACATAAGTTTTCACCTCTGTTGGCTAAATACCAAGGAGTTGATGGATCACACGGTAAGATTACACTTAGTTTTATAAGTTGTAGTAGTTTTAAAATATAGTAGAATTCTAAGTTAGATGCTAGGACAACATCTGTATATTAGGATTTTTAAAAGTGAAAATAAAGAAATACTGTCAAAATTGTTTTCCTTGAGTGTAACTAGGCAAGAAAACAAAATTTTAAAAAGTAAAAAAGTTTTTTACCACTTAAAAAAATTAGATGCACAAATATAACCAACTGATTATTCTGGAAATATGAAAAAAAATCACCATTAAAACCAATACATAGAAAGTTCCATTTACAATTTTATGGTGACCTAGTTTCTCAGATAGACTCTTTCAATGAAAACAACTAGAACACCAAATTAAAATTTAAAATTTTAAATATGGAGATGTACTTACAGAAAAGTAAGAAATACTCAAGCCAAAATCCACTTGAAGGCAGAAATCTTGAGAGTAATCACCACAGGTAACTTTTGAAGAACTGGAGAAACTGAACTTTCCTTTCCATAGCCTCTAGGGCATCAGGAATTGGAAACAAATCTCTGGGCATCTTCATCAAGTTGAGGCACCTAAAAGGAGACATTTCCCTCATTTCCAAGATAAATGAATTATCTTGAATCTTGGCACTGAAAAAAGAAAAAAACAAGTCTTTCTCTAAAGTATTACAACCACAAGCCTAACCTTATATCAATTTGGAGTTAGAATTCATACTACTCATATGATCTGAACAAATTCAAGTCAAAAATTTGACTTCATATAACCTCAAATTAGTAATGCACTCAGACAACTTCTAGAAACTAACAGAAATCCTCTCAGAGTCTATTTTAACCCAGTTCTCAAAGAATTTCTAACAAGTAGAATTCCAGAGAATTGAAACACTTGACAAGTCAAAATAGAGAAGTAGCAGCAACAACAAACAATAAACCTGAAAAGACTTTATGTATTGGAATTACCAGGCATAGATATGAAATAAAAATGTTTGTGACAAGTACAAAATAAATATAATTGTGAAACAATTTTTTCAAGGAATATGAAATTATAAAGAGTAAAATGGGGTTCTGGTCCTGGATGAGATGGAAGAAGCACATCTTGCCCTTTCCCACCAAATGAAACTATGAAACCAGGACAGAACACATGGATCAACTGTGTCAAGTCTCTGAAATTTGTCCGCAATAGGCAGGTTGAAGAAGAATGCTAGAACTTCAAAATAACACTGAATAGGCAGTTACCATTTCTTTTCCTCCACTACTCTTGCCTGAATGCACTGTAGCTATAAACTCACAAGTGGGTCCTGCGGCACAGAGCAAGAGAGAGCTTTTGGATAAGCTATCCAGTTCTGTCTTAAAGACCAGAAACAGGAATTCCACATACTGAGAGGGAGTACAGAAATTCCTCATTTTTTCCCTCTTTCATGGGTTCTATTTTCTTGCCCTAGTCCCCAGGGAATTCTTTTGCAGGGAAAGAAAGAGAGCTACGGAAAACTGCAAAAACCAAAACTCTGAGGGAAGGGCAACTTCCTCTCCTTTGGTTGCAGCTATAACTTCAGAAGAATGGGAGAAGCCTCACTGCTTTTTATGTCTCTGTCTTCATTCCAGTAGGGCCAGAACATGAGCCTCATCATGGAAGTACATTACAGAGGATAAGTAGTTTCACTAGAGACCTCAACCAAAAAATGGAGCTCCTGCAGATCAAAGTACTGGGGAGATCATGGAGAGGAACGAGGTCGAGAAAGTGATCCAATTAGTCATTTAGGAACCCAGGGCTTACCCTTAATCTGTATGTGCATAGATCTGATCCTAATTATCATCCCAAAGATTTTGAGAACTAAACTAACAAGACAGAGTAGGTCTGAGACTGAGCACTGGGGGTCTTTTTTCTCTCCTGGAGCAGAGAAAAGGTTTTAAAACCTGAATTAACACCAAAATCATAGCTCACAGTGGGTAGGTTAGAATATGTGGCCTGAAACTAGTACAACAAAAATATCAACATTCTGCATAGAATTTAAACAAGACTTAAAGTCTCTTAAAGTAATTCACAATATGTCTAAAATGACTTGGCATAAAAGGAACCACAAACATTTCAATTCACATGGGAAAAAAAATCAGCAGACACAGATGCTATTATGACACAAATGTTAGAATTATCTGACAAAGATTTTGAAGTAGCTATTAGACAAATGCTTCAAGAAGCAATCACGAACACTCTTGTAATAAATGTTAAAAAGTTTCAGCACAGAAATAGAAGATGTATAAGAAGAATCAAACTGAAGTTTTAGCATGGGAAAATACAATCGCCCCCTCCCACCCCCCCACCAGAATCTCATTAAATGAGCTCAGCAGCTGAATGAACATGACAGAAAAAAGAGTCAGTGAACTTGAAGACTGAACAGTATGTTTAATCCAATTTGAACAATGGAGAGAATAACATCGGGAAAGATAAATGGAATCACAGAGATTGGTGGGAAAATATAAGAAGGCCCAGCAATATGCCAACAGCATCCCAGAAAGATAGGAGAAATAGAGTAGTGTTGAGAAAAAGTTAAATAATGGCTGAAAACTTTCCAAGTTTCGGGGGGAAAGTTCTATAAACCTAGAGGTTCAAGAAGCTAAGCAAATCTTAAACAGGGTGAACCCAAAGAAATCCATGCCCAGGTACATCATAATCAAACTGCTAAAAAACCAAGATAAATAAAAAATATTGAAAGCAGTCAAAGAAAAATGACCTGTCAACTATAGGGGGAACAATGATTTATATAATTGAGGATTTCTTATCGGAAACCATCGAAAGCAAGAAGGAATGAGATGAAATTTTTTAAATGTTGAAAGAAAAAACTGTCAACCCATAATTTTATATCTAAATAAAATATCCTTAAGTAGTGTAGGTAAGTTAGAGATAATCTCAGATGAAAGAAGACTAAGAGAATTTGTACCTATCTGCTGTGAAAGAATCTCTAAAGGAAGCTTTTCAGGCAGAAGGGAATTGACTCCAGAAAAAGAGTTGGGACTTCAGGAATGAAGGAAGAGCAACAGAAAGAGTAATTATCTGGGGAAATGTGATAGATTGGTCTTGCTGTCTCGTGTTCTCTAACCCAGTGGAGACTGGAAATGGGAATCAGAATAATGTAAAACAAGGGGGAACAAACAGAAAACAAAAAATAAAATGATAGTTTTAAATCTAAACATATCAATAGTTACATTAAATGTAAATGATCTGAAGATACCAATTAAAAGGCAAAGAAGGTCAGAATAGACTTCAAAAATGAAGTATATACGTCTAAAATTGTCATTTAAAATATAACATTATAGGTAAGTGGCAAAATGATATACTATGCAAAAACTAATCAAAAGAAAGCTGGACTGACTATGATAATATCACAAAGCAGACTTCAGAGCAAAAATACATTGCCAGGAATAAAGATGGACATTACATAATGAAAAAAATTTTAATTTACCAAGAAGCCATAATAATTCTCAACGTATATGAACAAAGTATATTCAAAATTCACAAAACAAGAGCCTACAGCACTAAAAGGAAAGACAGGCACATTAAAAATTATAGTTGGAAACTTGAACAGTTATTTCTCAGTAATAAAAGTAGTTGAAAAGAAAGTTAGCAAGGATATAGAACAAAGTAACACCATCAACTAACTTGATATACATGATATTTATAGAAATCCACTCAAGAACAGTAAAATATACATTCTTTCCAGGAGCACAGGTAATATTCACTAAAATGGATGACATTCTGGATTATAATACACACATTTATCAATATGTAATAATCGAAATCACACAAAGTACGTTCTCTGATCATAATGAAATTATACTACAAATAAATAACAAAAAGATAACTTGAAAATTAAAATTTAAGATTCAAAATAATCTATGCTTCAGACTGTCTCAAAGAAATTACAAAATTTTTAACTGAATGAAAATGAAAACACAACATAATAAACTGTATGGAATTCAGTTAAAGCAGTGCCCAAAGGGGAATTTATAACAGTAAATATTTATAACGTAAAAAAGACAAAATTAAAAACTTCCACTTTGCAAAATGTAACGGCAAGAGAATGAGAAGATAAAACCACAGACTGAGAGAAAATATTTGCAGAAGATGCATTTGATAAAGGATTATAGTAAAAAAAATTCAAAGAACTCTTAAAACTAAACAATAAGAAAGTAACCTGATTAAAAAATAAGTCAAAGATCTTAACAGACACCTTGCCAAAAAAATACATACAGAATCAAATAAGCATATGAAAAGATGTTCCACGTTGTAAGACATCAGGAAAGTGCAAAATTAAAACAAGGTACCACTACACACCTGTTAGAACGGCCATTACCTGAAACACTGACAACAACAAATGCTGGCAAGACGGTAGAACAACAGGAACTCTCATCCATTGCTGGTGGGAATGCAAAATGGTACAGCCACTTTGGAATGCAGTTAGACAGTTTCTTAGAAAACTAAACATACTCTTATATGATCCAGCAAATGTATTCTTTGGTATTTACCCAAAGGTGTTGAAATCTTATGTCCTGCACACAGATGTTTATAGCAGCTTTATTCATAATTGCTAAAACCTGGAAACAATCAAGATGTCCTTCCACAGATGAATGGCTAAGTAAACTGAGATACATCCAATCAATAGAATATCATTCAATGTCAAACAGAGATGCATTATCAAGACATGATAAAGTACAGAGGAACTTTGAATGCATATTACTAAGGAAAATGAGTCAATCTGAAAAAATTATATTCTGTGTAATTCCAACTACATGACATTCTGTAAAAGGTAAAACTACAGAGACAATTAAAAGATCAGTGATTACATGGGTGTGGGTTGGGGGAGGTATGAAAAGAGCACAGAGGATTTTTAGGGTAGTGAAACTACTCTGTATGATACTGTAATGATGGATACATGTCACTATACATTTGTTCAAATTCTTAGAATGTACAGCACAAAGAATGAACCATAATGTAAACTCTGGACTTTGGGTAATTATGGTATGTCGGTGTAGATTCACAAGTTTTAACAAATACATCATTCTGGTGAGTACTGTTGATAATGGGGGAGGTATAATTGTGTAGGGGCAGGGGGCATATAGAAAATCTTGTATCTTCCACTCAATTTTGTTGTGAAGTTAAAACTGCTCTAAAATTCTTAATAAAAAAAGAAAACATTTACAATGACATGAAAACAGGAAGTACCCAGGAATGAGTCTAAGAAAATATGTGCCAGATCTTTGTGTGCAATATTATTAACCCTCAGTGAAACAACTTAAAGGAGATGTAAATAAATATAGATATATACCATGTTCAAGGATTACAAGATAACATGTAGCAAAAAAATGTTAATGCCCCTCAAATTAATCAATAATTCAAACAATTCCAATAGTATTGTTAAATGTTTCTTTATTTTTGACATGCAATTTAGAAAATTTTATTCGGTAGTCTAAAAGCCAAGACTAACCAAGAAAATCTTGAAGAAAAAGACAAAACTGAAATTTCACTAGCAGATGTTAATGTGAACTGTATTCTGACAGGATGTGCATCGTATGTGCATGGGATAAACCAATAGACCAACACAACCAAATAAAAAGTCCAGAAGACGACCCTGGCACAT